GGATTGGGGGCGTACCCCCTGTCAGTGGCGGCAAGTCTGTCGGTAAACTCATTCCCTCTGATGCCAATGTGGCTAGGGACCCAGTTAATGATTATTCTTCTACCCTGAGCAAGAATTCTTTGTGCTATGGTAAGTATTGTGGTCAGGAGGTAGATGTCTTTGGGTGAGCTGTGCTCGGCTGCCCTGGAGTACGTATGACAACGTATCCTTCCCTTAGGAACGCATGGGCTAGAGCTCCCATGATTGCAATTGCTTCTGCCTGTACCAAGGAGGCGTTGTCTGTTACCCTCATGGATTTTGTGGCATCCCTTGCTGCAAAGCCGGCGTCTGCAGTGTGGCTCAAAGGATCAACTGATCCATCTGTGAAGTATGTTCTACTACCTGGAGTTATGGCTGCAATGACCCTCTGGACTTTTGCCTTTAGACTAGGCATAGGGTATTGTTTTTTTTTTCATTGACAGGCTCATTATAGAAAACTCTATCAAGGTTTGTGCCCACGGCAGGGCTTCGACAAAGTCAGGGTGGGGGGAGTCCATGCCCATAGCAAGAAGCTGTTCTTTGAGCTGATAACTGTGTGAGACAGCCAGGAGTTATTTGCAAAGAGTTTGTTGTCTTGTTCTAGGCGTCTGACTATTTTTTTGTCTTAGGCTTGTGTTCCTGGGAGCCTGGATGACCTTTGGCAGGAATTGTGTTGCCTTTAGATTGCCTTTAGATTACCTCCATTCGGAGGTTGAGGACCTTCGTCCACCTTGGGGCACCCAGAATGATCCTGACAGCTTCATTTTGGACTGTCTCCAATTTGTCTTTGTTCTTTTTCTTTGTGGCAATTAGAGCGACTGAGGCATAGTCCACAATGAGCTGGACGGCATGAATATAAAATTATCTTAGTACCTTGTGTCTGGCTCCTATGCATCTCCCAGTCATTATTCTCATGACAGACATTCTTGCTTTGGTTCGGTCAACCAGGTACTGGACCTGGTTCTGGAAGGAGAGGGTCCGGTCTATCCTTACCCCAAGGTATTGGAAGTCCTGGACCCATTCCAAGACCATTCCCTGGATTTTCGAACTTGTGCCTTGAACTCTATGTCTGAGATCTTTAGTGCTGTCCTACAACACACCTCGGTCACAAGGTCCAGACAACACTGGGCTTTATTTAGGCAGTATGGACCAGTGGAGGTAATAGCAAGTCTGCATAGGAGATGATCTTGAACCCCACTAGGATTCCTCCAGGTCAAGGAATACTACCACAGATGTGCCCGTGCTGATTGTGCTTAAGATCGTGGCTATGCTGTGCTGCTGTGCTCATCCCCCTGGTGAATCCGTAGAGGTGTTCATGTTCACCGGCTCCAATTTCCATTGGAGCCGGTTTTGTACCATCCTCTCGGCCGTCTTGGCAAGACAGGAAATTTAGGTTGGCTTATTCTTTGGGCATAATGATCATGCCCTGATCCCTGGCAACCCAGATCGACAACCTTATTTTTTGCTGCAACTCCAATGCCTTGATCAGTTAGTAGGCATTGTCGAAACCTTCGGGTTTAGCTCACACTTTGAATTGGGGGCAACGTTTAGGGGGTCCAGACTCTCCATCAGGGTCTGTCTCCAGCCTTGGACGGCTTGCTCGCGGGGGCAGCAGCTGATTCGGCTGGTTCAGCTTGTGCTCCCATCTCAGTCAGGGAGGACGTCTGAGGAGAACTCAGGGGCCTCCCTGGCTTGGCTGCAGGCCTGGAGAGGCCAGCATGAGAGTCCATCTGTTGGGTGATCTGATGGACAGACATATTGGTTTTGGATGTTTTTTCTGTCTTGTCCACCTTGGCAGCAGGCATGACAGTGTCATCCTGTGCATGGGGTTTTCTTTTACCACCAGGAGGCACATATGGCTTCAGGGTGGCTGCCGTGGTTTGGGCCTTGCATGGTTTGTCAACAATTGGATCTGTCTGTGGAGGGTTTTGGTTTAATTTTTCGCTGTATTAGGACAGTGCTTCATCCTCTCACGCCCCCACCCACCACAGAGTCCAACAAGGGGAAGCTGAGTGTTAGAGCCAGTGTCTAACAGCTACAGGGATGATGAGAGGATATACGCTGCCAGTAGCCATTGTAACGGCGCTCACGGACAATTGTGAGTGCCAATGGCGGCATGACTGCTTGACCCTAGCCTCCCAAGGGAGACCAGCCGATTGGCCAGACCGGGATAGCATCAGGCCGCCTGTCTTGCTGGAATAGACGACCAAAGGGGCGTGTTGCTAGCCACAGAGCAGACTCATTCACGGCATCACCCAACCTCCAGGACTCCCATCTCCACATGGCTGCCACACACGGCAAACACGTGGGTAGGTGTAAACCCCTGGGGATGCCCTTCCACCTACAGGACATCATTGTTTGGAACCCTTTTGCTCATCCCTCTGAAGCAGCCACCCAAAGGTTGCTTCGCCTCAGTGAGGGAGGAGAGGCCCTGTACCTTTTCAAAATGATCCCTCTTCCCTCTGAAACAGCCACCCAAAGGCTGTTTCACCTCAGTGAGGGAAGGGAGCTCTTGCACTTTTACCAGGCGGTTCCTTTCATCCAGGGAAGAGACCTGTTCAAGGAAGTTCCTTCATCCCTCAGAAACAACCACCCAAAGCTGATTCACCACAGTGAGTGAGAGATGGTAACTTTTGAGGCAGTTCCAGTGGCGGGACGGGATGCAGCCTCCCCTGCGGGAGGTAAAGGTCTGCCCACGTCCAACATGTTACCATTGTACTAGCCCGGAGGCTGAATGTTGATGTTAAACTTTCTCTATATATTCAACCCACAGCTCCCGTCGAGACAACCATTGATCACTTCGACGATGTGGCACGTGATTTCAACCGTCGCCTTGACACATACACCAATATTTCGTAAGTCAACATTCCCTGTTGTTCAGCTTTCTGATAAATGTTCTGAAAACCAACGTTGCTTTCAATTCAGATTCTATGTCAATTTTCAACCTTCCTCTTGTTTTCATGGTTTATTTTCTCTATTGTAGCCCCCTTTTGGCTCGTCAGCTGAACGACCAACTTCTGATGTTGGAGAAGTGCTACATCGACGCTGGAGGAAGTCCTCTTAGACCACACATGAAGTAAGCTGTCTCTCTCATTCATTCATTCACTCACTCACTCTCACTCACTCACTCACTCACTCCTTACTCTCACTCCTTACTCTCACTCACTCCTTACTCTCACTCACTCCTTACTCTCACTCACTCCTTACTCTCACTCACTCCTTACTCTCACCCACTCCTTACTCTCACCCACTCCTTACTCTCACTCACTCCTTACTCTCACTCACTCCTTACTCTCTCTCTCTCTCTCTCTCTCTCTCTCTCTCTCTCTCTCTCTCTCTCTCTCTCTCTCTCTCTCTAGCCTCGGGTTAGTACAATGGTAACGTGTCGGCCTCTCATCTGAGGGGTCGGCGGTTCGCGCGAGAAGTTGCAATTGTCGCCTGGAGGTTTCTGCTGTGGCTGGGCACCACGGCGTTAGCGAGTCGACATTAGTCGCCACAGACTGGACTCCCCTCATAGCCTGGGCGAGGCTCAGCTTCGCATATCGGACTTATCCTTACTTATCTCTCTCTCTCTCTCTCTCTCTCTCTCTCTCTCTCTCTCTCTCTCTCTCTCTCTCTCTCTCTCTCTCTCTCTCTCTCTCTCTCTCTCTCTCTCTCTCTCTCTCTCTCTCTCTCGCTCTGTTCACTCATGAGTTGACCTACAATTACAATTGCAGTATTTTTTTTCACGCTTTGTACTTGCTAAAGTTAAGTATTAGGTAATTTGTTGAATGCTAATCAAATATTTCATTCCTCGCAGGAATATGGTCTTAGGTACAAATAACTTCAACCAGTATGATGGATGGACGGCGCCCGGGGTCCGAGACGCTATTTGGGAAGCCATCAGCTGTCAAGGAGAATGCATTAAAAAATGGGAGACTGTCAAAAAACAAATTTCTGTTCTGCAATATGTTATACATTCTGCTGTTCTTACTATGAAAGATTTTCAGTCTTTTTGAAACAAAAAGCCGTAAGATAACATATGAAGATATACTTATATAATGCTACATACAGAAGTACACACATTTTTAATATATA